TTGTTTGGGTGGAGCGTCAAGATACTAACTTTCTTAACTAATCATGTTGAATGTCTAGGGTAACTTCTAAAAAACACAGATAATTTCTTCCAAAGGAGCAGAAGGGGTGGCGGTGGAGATATGAAAAAGAAGAAGAAAAAAATCGATTCAGAAGGTGGCGAAAAGGGCGGGGGGCTAGAGAAATAGCAAGCACATAAGACGGTAAAAAGAAATCAAAAGAGTCCAAGATGGAGTTTGAGGATTCTTTTCCCCAAAACAAACAAACAAACAGACTGTAGTTTATACACATCCTAACATGATGGCTGTTGATTTTCACACTGTTCCTAACAAAAACAATCAGTACAAGTGAACTTTGGAGAAGAAAAAAAAACACTATTCCACAAGAGCAACTTTGAAGTCTTAAAGACATATGTCTCAAAAATGGAGCTCTGGTGGTGAAGAGCTCAGCTGCTAACCAAAAGGTCAGCAGTTCGAATCCACCAGCCGCTCCTTGGAAACCCTATGGGGCAGTTCTACTCTGTGCTATAGGGCCCAACTCACTCAACCATGAGTGGGAATCCACTCGATGGCAATTGGTTTGGTTTTTTGGTTTATTATTACTATTACTCTATCGTGGTGTTGGCGAAGAACATTCAATATATCACTGACTGACAGAAGAATTAACACATCAGTCTTGGAAGAAGTACTGCCAGAATGCTCCTTAGAAGAAATGATAGCAAGACTTCATCTCACGTACTTTGGACTTATCAGGAGGAACCAGTCTCTGGAGAAGGACATCATACTTGGCAAAATAGAGGGTCAGCGAAAAAGAGGAAGACCCTCAACGAGATGGATTGAGACAGTGGCTGCAACAATGGAATCAAACATAACTACAGTTGTGAGGATGGCACAGGACTGGGTAGTGTTCCATTCTGTTGTACGTAGGGTCACTATGAGTTGGAACTGACTTGACAGCACCTAACAACACCCTGGTTGCACAGTGGTTAAGCATTTGGCTGCTGACCAAAAGGCCGTTCAAATCCACCAGTCGCTCCTTGGAAACCCTATGGGGCAGTTCTACTCTGTCCTGTAGGGTTGCTATGACTTGGAATCGACTCGATGGCAACAGGTTTGGTTTTTGTTGTTGTTAATCCATTAAAGAGGCCCCTTTTAACCCACATTTAAATAAGTTAGAGGATCTGAGGCCAAATTAGCCCCTCAGGAGTGCTAAGACTAAATCCAAAGTTGGCCATGAAAAACTGCTGGAATACTATCCTTATCACGTTTTCAAGAAAATTCAGAACTTCAAGGAGAAGATTGATATGCTAAAATCCATGGTATTAAATTTGGAATACGGTTAGTATTGATGACTGAGTTTCAACAGCACATGAATCCACAGTTCTGTTCGTTAAAAAGTTAGCTGCTTTAACACTAATGAAAACCAGATGAGGCAAAAATAATAAACAATAGACGGGCGGTTCCTGAAGACTGTTGATCGAAATCATACATCAGGATCACGCACTCCATCAGGCCGTGTGCCCTCAGACCCAGTAGGACGCTCACCCTTCCCTCTGCTGCCGGTCCAACAGTGGTCCTAGGGCCCAGGAAGGGTAAGTGGGTACCTGGGGAACATGCAAAATTAAGAGTGTGCCTGTGAAGTTAGCATTAGAAACACTTAGGACATGAGTAACTAAATTAAGACCAGCAATATAGACTCTATACATACATGCTGCTGAAAGGCATCATTTCCAATGTAGAGAATCAAATTACCGATGATTTGACAAACATTTTCAAAGGTCTTTACTACAGAAGCAAAACAAACTCTACTATTAGTTGTGTGACTATATCTAAGTCATGAATAATGACATTAAAACCAAGGAAAAATACTTGTTTCTGTCAAATAGGGTCATCTGCTCCTACCAATGTACTATAACCAGGGCACAAATGATGAAAGTGATTCTCTCTTTTCCCCTAAGCCCATGAGTTGTGTAGACAACAAGGATCTGAGGACAGGAACAGCAGATGGCTTGGCATTTCAACCACGCTAGTTACAAAGAATTTCAGAGATCAAGCCCTCTCTGAGCCCCCAGACTCAGTCTTTATGGCTCACACTCTTCTTTGCTCCTTCTCCTGCTGCCAGGATCTGGGAATTGAGGGAGGACGTTCTTCTTGGTGATTGCAGGTCTGCTTTAGACTCCATCAAGTAGAGGGGCTTGGTAAGTTTGGGGTCCCTCTGGTCAGAGTATCATAAAGAGTTCCACAAGGACATGGCCTCAGGGAACCACAAGGACACCGCCAACGCTGCTTTCAGAAACTTTCCTCTCCTGTGTTCTGAGGCTCAAGCCCAGATGAGCACAAGAGGCTCTTGGGATCCTCTCTCTGAAACCCTGCCCTCCCGGGTGGGGTGGAGGTGGGCTGGGGAAGCGGAGCTCAGCCCCTGTCTCAGATCTGACTTTTGGAGGCCCAGCCCTCTGACCCCAGGCACTCTTACCCAGGATGTAAACAGGATTCTGGTTGACCCGCCTTGATGACTTAAGACAGTACCTTAGGGGTACTTGAAGGGATGAAGGATCTTCAGGAAATCCAACTTCCATACAATTTGCCCGCTTCCTTCCATTTTGTAGGCAAGTTCATAGGGCTTCCTATATTTCCCTGCCTTATAAATACGCCTCTCAAAGACCTAGAATGTGATATTTTAGTTCATGTTGGAATTTTCTGAGTTCAAATACAAGCTAGAGTGCAGTGACGGGAGTAAGGCAATTTTGGATTAATGATTCTCTTTATGCGCTGGCTTTGTCAAAGTATGCATTTGAGGTACAGTTTCATGAAAGCCAAGCAAAAATAACTTTAGTAAGAAAACTTGACTCTTAAAAATGTCCCCTCACCCAGTGCACTTAGCTGTAAGCAGTTCTTCTCAGCTCTTCTTCAAATTTATCCCTGGGAAGAAAAGCACCTTTAGGTAGCCAAAGCGGTATAGGTTAATGTCACTAATTCATTTAAATGTAATCAGAATGTTTTCTTAAATTATTGAAATGTTCAAGATATATTAGACAAAAGTTCTATGATTTTATCTGATACTGTTTGAAATGTGTATTACAATACAGCAAATCTTCATCGTATTTCATCTTAAAAATGTTTAATATTTTCTACCTCCTATTAATAAAAAGTAAATAAGAACCAAAACACTGACAAATTATTTTTGACTGGAGCTTTTTTTTTTATTAAATGTAAAGGGAAAGTTAGATATTAATTCATCACGTCAGAAAATGCACTGTCAATAAACTTTAACATTTATGGTTCATAACTTATCAAAATCTATAACATGTTCATGTTGTTTTAAATAGTAGTGTAGAAAAATAACAGTCAGAATGACTCAAGAAGAAGTTTATAAAGTTAAATGCTATTTTTTATAATAATTTAATATGAGATTAATAACAGGCTTACGATCATAAAAATACATTAACAGTTTTACTTTTAAATGTCAATATTTATAATATACTGGTTATCCTTACAATATCCTTTGCAACTATTTGAACTTACAATGAAATATTTTAGATGTCCACCTAAAAATGTGCAAGAGGTTCATAGGATATTTGTGGGGTACATGAGCAAAAACTTTGACTTAAGCTTCTGGAGGAACATGTGGATAAGGTCCTTTTCCAAAAACTGTTATTAATTAAACAAAGTAATGGATTCTTTTCTCCCTAACCTCAGCAAAAGTACATTTCTCAGTTTCTATACTGTATATCCCTTGGGAAAATAAAAAAGACTGTAGTTTTGAGATCCTGGGAGAGCTTAGCTCAAGTCTCAAATATAGTGCTGTAAAGTCTGGTAATACAGAATGAAGACTTGGCTGCTGGGTTTTAAGAAATCTTGCTTCAAATCAGTGACAAACAGTAGTCATTTCAATCTTGGCTGTCACCTTAATTCCCTAGACACGTAAGGTTCCAGATAGAAAATTACAACTGTAGAACTCATCTTCTTTAAGAAGACAGAAGACAGAGGTGACTCTTTAGATTATTGTGTTAGAGGATATCAGGATCCCTTGGGAGAAGGGTATAGATATAACAGTGTTACACAGTGCAAAGTCAGATGTTCATGTTTTCCAGAAAACAAACATATTTCTAGTGTTAAATCTTTTCACACACATTTTATGAAATTATTTTAAAATACTTCAAGATTCTCAATCCTATGTCTATCTAATTATTGGGTTTGAATCATTCATGATAATAACAAATAGCCATATAGGTTAAACATTAGCATTAAACATGTTAATTAAAAACCCATTGCTGTCGAGTGGATTCCAACTCTATAGGACAGAGTAGAACTGCCCCATAGGATTTCCAAGGAGTGGCTGGTGGATTTGAACTGCCAGCCTTTTGGTCAGCAGCCATAGCTCTTAACCACTGCACCACTAGGGCTCCAGTATGTTAATAAAAGGTATTCAAAAACCTTTTAATGGCAAATAAAATCAATTCACTTCATTATTTTCTGATTTCAAAAAATTGAAAGAATGTGGCCCCCCTGTCATGTAATGAGATGAGCTGACTATGCTCAGAGGCAAGTGAGCATGGTGCCTCACTGGGTTCAATACAGGTTTTGACATGGAGAATCTGAACCAGATCCCCATTCAGCTGCTGTTAGCTCTACCTTTAAAATAAGCAGATCTAGGTGTAGTACCATAAGTTACAGGTTTATATTTAAATGATTAAGAACCTCTTCCAGGGGAATAATACCTGCCATCGAGTCGATTCTGACTCATAGCAACCCTGTGGACAGAGTAGAACCGCCCCAATGGGTTTCCAAGGCTGTCATCTTTACAGAAGCAGACTGCCACATCTTTCTCCCGCGGAGCCGCTGGTGGGTTCGAACTGCTGACCTTTTGGTTCGCAGCCAACTGTTTCCACCACCAGGGCTCCTTTCAGGAAATAATGGTGCTGTAATATTTCCTTGATACTTCTAGTAAGTTCTCTAAGCATTCTCTATTTCACAAGTCTCAGAAGACAACGAGCACCGTTTTTGTGCCGTTAAGGTGGATGCAGTGCCTGAGGAGGCTAGCACAGGAGGGTAACTCTCCACAAAACCCAGAGAAGAGGTTGTGCAACTCTTCTTTGGATCCTGTCTGGAGCCACAGCTGGAAGGAAAAAAAAAAGAAAAAGACCACCAACATGACTAAGTTTTCTTTTTGGAATCAGATAACCAAAGATACGCTGTTAGGAGATTAAAATTTAAGATGACTCAGTGAGTTGCAAATGATCAAAACCAACGTGTTTTACTGAATTTTTTTTCGGTGAATAACGAATCTCTGGTTCTTTTCAGGGCTGGAGCCTTGGGTAAGTGAATAAAATACTTAAGGGTCTTAGGAATGAGTATTTATTTTCTTTAATTCATTAGTTTTCCCGGATAGTCACAGATTCACAATCTGTAGGTGAAGAAGTAGAATTTGAGTGCACTGGGAGCTGAGGTGTTAAAATGGGTCCCCATGTGGGGTGGGGGGGGGGTCTCAGTGCACCGCTGGTTTCCAGTAGACATAAAGGAGCTGAACGTAGCAAGACTGTCCCTGTCAGGGCCGACGCATCGCTCTGACAAGTGCAGTGTACGAGCGCCAGCGACAACCTCATCAGCAGTGCTTCTCATACTTCACCATGTATATGAGTCACCTGAGGATCTCATTAAAATCAGAGCCCCTTCAGTAGGTTTGGGTGTGAGGTCTGATATTCTGCATTTCTAACAAGCTCCCAGACGACCTTGATGCTCCTGGACCACATTTTGAGTAACACAGTTAAAGCACCGATACCCTGTGTCCAGTCAAAAATGAGACGTGTAGGCCAGGAGCTGGAGGCCCAGGCACATAAGCACCTATGTGAATGGAAAATTACTTAACCTCAAAGGGACCTGATTACCTCCTTCCGTAAAATTACAGGTCTGAGCCAGGGGATACATCAGGCCTCTTCAGAACTCCAATATTTACAGATTTTAAGCTAACTGTTATTTTTGTTTTGACTGCTGTCTTCTGTTTTTCCGCATAAATGGTTACCAAAAATCAGAAAATTTTATACTACTGTATTACTCACAAAGATCCCCAATTAGTTACACTCTGTGTTCTTTGAGCCAAGATGATAGTTATTTTTTATGTTGATTTCCACACTCTTTCTCCATAATTCTTAGAACACTATTGAAATTTGTATTTTCCTTTAAATTTAAAAAGTGTTCTTAACCATGATGTATCTGTGAAGCATCTCACAACATGGATGAAACTGGAGGGCATTATGCTGAGTGAAGTAAGTCAATCACAAAAGGACAAATATTGTATTAGACCACTACTATAAAAACTCATGAAAAGGTTTACACACAAAAAGAAATAATCTTTGATGGTTATGAGGGAGAGGAGGAGGGGGGATGGAAAAATACTAAATAGACAATAGATATGTGGTAACTTTGGTGAAGGGTAAGACAGTACACAATATTGGGGAAACCAGCACAACTTATCCAAGGCAAGGTCATGGAAGCTCCATAGACACATCCAAATTCCTTGAGAGACCAAATTACTAGGCTGAGGGCTGTGTGGACCATGGTCTCGGGGAACATCTAGCTCAATTGGCGTAACATAGTTTATAAAGAAAATGCTCTACATTCTGCTTTGGTGAGTAGCATTTGGGTCTTAAAAGCTTGTGAGTGGCCATCTAAGATACTCTTCTGATCTCACCCCATCAGGAACAAGTGAGACTGAAGAAAACCGAAGACACAAGGGAAAGATTAGTCCAGAGGACTAATGGACC